GCTTTCTGCAGAGCTGTGGTGGATTTAGGCTGATTTCATTCCCCCCATAACACCACTTAGCTGAAAGTGTTATAACAAATGCCTAGATACAGCGTGACTCAAAGCTGACAAAACTAAATACCAAAGGCCTCAGTGCTCTATTAGAAGCCAATCTGACTTCAGAAGCAATGATTTTAGAACAGCCAAATAGCTAAACCTTCCGAGGAGCAGCGGGAAGAGAGGATTTGAGGAGTTCAGTGCTACCAGGGATAGCCTGGATTTCTGAATCTCGTTCCCTTCGATGACTGCGCTATTTGGTTGTCAGTCCATCCACTCTGTCTTCACCCAAAAAGCGTGTAAGTTCCTCTGCCAATTTCAGCCGAGTTTCAGGGGGTGGAGACATTTAGTTCCTATAGATTTTTTTGGAGAGCTGGCAGAAGACACTGAAATTAAAGCCCCTCCCCAGGGAATGCGATAGTCCCTTCTGATCGGCCAAACCGCACACGTGGCTAGAACCAGCCAGACCGCATTTTCCCCTTCCCTCTTGTCTTTTTGCCCATCCGCAACCTGCGTAACCCAGCCTCCAGTCCCCGTGCCCCAGCGGACGCTCCCTTCACCCGCTGCAGCAAAACACGGCCTGAGACGTGGTCCACAGCAGACGAGGACCCGGCCCGCCCCCGGGGGGGCCCCCAGCCACAAGGGCTATCGACAAGGAGGCTAAGGGGAGCTGGGGACAGAGTTAATGCGGATGAGCAGCTCCACAGCTGCTTACTCCCCACACCGAAGCCGAGAAGCTGATGTAGCCAAATGAATGCACTCAGCAACTGAAAAACTTACAGCTCACTCTGCTGGAGGCAGAGGACGATTCTCGCGCCGCCGCCGCCTTCTTCGAAATGGCCCTGCTGATAGACCGCCGGATCATGCTCTCTCTTTTGCTGGCCAGTGAATATTTTTCTGCCAAGGAGGCCCTACGGCTCTTGTGGGGGCCACCCACAACGCGCCCAGAGCAACGGCGCGTTTTGGATCTCGCTGTAGTTGTTTTGCTGTCAGAGTCCTGGAAAAGCCCCTTTTCGAGGCCTTGAGGAGATCGATCTCCATTTCTAGCAGCCTTGGGAGTGGAGGTGCTTGCTCTTCTTTTGGGGGCCTCCTTCCCCTCCCTTGCCGCCTGGCCAGCGGGGATCTCGGTGACAGAAGAGGCATCGTGCCGCTCAGTGGCTGCGTCCCCCTCGGGCAGCTGCCCCCCCGTGACAGCCTGGCGGGCTGGGCCACGGCTCTCGGCGCCCCGCGGGCAGTCCTGACAACCCGCCTCTGCCACCGGACCCTGGGCCTCCGCGGGCCGTTTCCCAGCCAGCGCGGGGAGCTCAGTTTTAACCCTGTCCCGAGGCCCCGCCGCACCGCCGGGCACAGGCACCTCTTCCCCCTGACAGCCGGGGTTCTGGGGCTGCTCTTTGCTGTGGCGCCTTTGGGAACTTGGCTTGATGCTGCTTCTCCTTCTGGACAACCTTAAATAAAAACAATTTGAAATGAAGCCATGAAGAAGTCTCCTGCTCCCAAATCATTTTTAGAGAAAAAACAGAAGTTTTGAAGCGACCCTGTAGGCTTCTTCCCTCCACCGTTCCCCCTCGCAGCCCTTCTCCTATCACTGGTGAAACGCAGGAGCTGAACCTTGAGAGCTCACAGATGCGCTCTGGCAGATTTAGCTGGAACAACTTAGAAACTGCTGCTCTCTGCTGCCTGCGAGATGATTTTTTGCTGGACGTTACTGCTCTGTACCGCAGGCAGGAACGCCGGGCACACACCCGCACTGCAACCCTCCCAGCTGCCAGCCTGGCGTGCCGGGCTGACCCACAAGTAAAGGTTGTATCCTATGGACACAAACCGGCGGCTGAGGCACCAGGACGCTCGTGTCCCCGCAGCCAGTAACCCACAGCCCCAGGCGCAGCCGACACCAGGGGACAGCACAGTCATGCTGGCACAACAGCTCCACGCTGCTTGCCTTGAGCAAAGCACAGACATCCACACGGGGAGGGATTTGGGATCGAAGATATCACAGTCTCCCATGATCAGCTTGGCGTGGCGGCCTGCCCTGCAGGGATCTACAAGATCCCAGCCAGGAACAGAAGGCTCTGCCGCTCTCTGGCAGGCCGCTCAGTATCAAACACATCCCAAGCACTGAGAAAACACCCATGGCTCTAAAGGCAGAGTTTGTGAAGAGGCCGGGAAACACAGCCATGCTGCCACACGTGGCACCCGACAGCGTCATCCCGAGGAAGGCAACACAAAACACTGTACAGTCAGGACCCACAAATTCTTTGAATTACTGTTATTTAAGAGAAAAATGATTGGTACAGTAACTATCTCTAGCTCTATTGCTTCAGTTAAACCTGACCAACTACGGAGAGCCTTGGGGAGCTTCGGCACCGAAATCCTCTTTGCTCCGTTAGGAAACTTGCCACCAGAGGATGGAGCCACACACTTGATCAGCAAGTCAAGGAGATCAGGTGGGCAAATCCAAACCCAAAGGACAGCTTTGGCTGCCCAGAGGAAGGCGGCTTCCGATGCCAAAGCGACCCAGAGGTAGCCAGGTAAAGGGCAGAGACTGGAGACACAGAGGAAACGGAGAGCTAACGGGGAAGCGTGCACCAGCCAGAAAAGGCAGCTGAGAAAACCCAGCGCGGTGTAAGACAAGGTTTTCCAGCCCCTGGCGCAAGACCACCAGCAAGCAGTGACTTGTCCTCCTGCCAGCGTTCAAGTTGACACCCTCTGCCTCCCTCCAGCCTCGTTCTCTTAACTCCTCATTCTGACCTCCGGCAAGAGGAGGGACTTTTTGCTGGAATGAGCAAAAGATTACTAACTGGGAAACGCGTAGCTAACAATACGCTAAGAAACGGGTTGTAAAATACATACTGAGAAAAACAGAGCAAGGAGAAAAACAACAATGGCCTGGCCCCGCAGGATGGAGCACAACGTGCCGAACCACAGCACGACCTTCCTGTTGACAAGTGACCGCCCGCGCATTTTGTCGCATCAGCAGATCTTTCTCAAAACTAAGTTTAAATGAGGAAAAATACACGCAAGACTTGTCTTCTTCAGGGGAGCAATCCAGCTGCTACCTGGAGCCTAACAGCATGTCTTAAGAGCTCTCCCCGTTTAGATCTGCAACATTTTCTTCTCCTGCCCTCCTTCACCACACACACAAGCTTCCCACGCTTCCTTACTATTCTTGCTGTTCTCTCCATCCTCCCTGTCTGGTTTCTGACAGTCTTTTAGTTCTAACTCTTCCTGTCCAACTTCTGTGGGTTTTTCACCATGGTTATCAAAATTTCAGCGCCATAATGCATAAACGGTTACTACTGCGTGCCCAGTGACGAGGTTTGGGTCACCCTACAGCGACTGCCAGCGCGCCTACCCTCAGCCCGCGCTGCTCGGAAGGGACGGCTCCCAAACCGCCTCGCCGCTGAGCACCCAATCAGAGCAGATACGCAGTCGGCTACCACGAAGCGGTGGCACCGAGGAAGTTAATTAGCATCACAGCCACCCCTGACCACGCACACAATTAAATCATGCCCTACGCCACCCTGCCTTGGCATCTGTTTGCCGGCAACTGTTGTCTGCTTAGGACTAGTTTTAAAAACATCAAGTACAGCTGCTTCTAAGCAAATCCCTTGGAATTTCCACTTCGGTTTCACTGCTAATCCCTCTGAGCTCTTCTGCCTCCCAGCTCAAGCAACGACCGCAGACGCGCCGCCGCCGCGCGTCGCTGGCAGCAAGTTCCGCTCTCAGGGTCTCTCAGGCACCAGCACAAAGGTTTAGGGGGTGAACACCAATAGCAACCTCAGGTCAAAACCGTGCTGAAACAAAATCAAATCACACAGAAACGAAATTGAAACAGACAAGAAAATAGAATATTTATTATTGTTTCTAACCAGAAGAAACAAAAACGAAAGAGAAGGAAACCAGCCAACTCCATCCCAAACTTTCACAAGAAACAAACGTTGATTGGTCTTGACGTGCTCTTTTAAATGTATTTGCTAACTCAGGGAATAAAACAGCTATTTTATGTTCTTGCACATGTGGAAACAGTTACTATTTTGCTTCACTCCTAAACACCGTGTGGCGGGGCCAGAACAAACCGACTCGCCTACCTCCTCCTGTTTGGCTCCTTATTTTCATCTTTCAGGCAGGAGGACGGCCTTTTCTTGGGACGTCTCCTCTGTGATGGTGTTTTGGGCATTAACTGGGGCTCAGCCCCAAAGTTGCTGTTGAGCAGACAAATGCAGAAGGCAGATCGCTCCCCCGCTGCCTACAACGCTGCCCCCCACAACCTATCGCAAAACAGGGGCGCTCATCGAGAAAGAGGAGCCTTGGGTGCGAAACAAGCGAGGGAAAGGCACCGGCCGCGGGGCCCAGCCCCGGCTGCGGAACCCCCGGCCACGGCAGATCCCAGCCACG